CAAAAATATATAAAGCCCTGGCCAGTTTGGCTCAGCGGTTAGAGCGTCGGCCTGCGGTCCCGAGAGACCCTGGTTCGGTTCCCGCTAAGGGCGCGTACCTCCGTTGCAGTTTGTCCCTGGCCCTGGTCGGTCGTGCGGGTGGCAGCCACTCACTCGATGTGTTCCTTTCACATCGATGTTTCTCTCTCTCTCTCTGTTCCTCTCTCTCCCTCCCACTCTACCTGAACAAAAAAATGGAAAAATGTCCTCGGGTGAGGATAAAAAAAAAAGAAAAAGAAAAAAATATATATATATAAAGAGAATTTTAAACTATTTTAAGCATGTCCATAGTTTTCCAACAATCCTAAGTAGGCAGACTGAAGATCATTAATTCCATTTCTTTTTTTTTATTATTATTATTATTTCTTTAATCCTCACCTGAGGACATTTTTCCATTTTTTATTCAGACAGAGTGGGAGGGGGGGAGAGAGAGAGAGAGAAACATTGACGTGAAAGGGACACATCGAGTGGCTGCCACCCGCACAACCAACCAGGGCCGGGGACAAACTGCAACCGAGGTACATGCCCTTAGCGGGAACCGAACCCGGGTCTCTCTGGACCGCAGTCTGCCGCTCTAACCGCTGAGCCAAACCGGCCAGGGCCATTAATCCCATTTCATAAATGCCAAGAATGGAGAAGGAACTGGCCACAGTTGTGGCAGGGTTGGACATAAAACCCAGACCTTCAAACTCCTAATTCAGTGTTTTCTTTCAGAGACTCCACAATCTGAAAGATTAGCAGCACCCAGAATCATTCTTGAAGTTCAGTATGGTCAGCTACAGCAAAAGGAATCCACATGGGGTAGGGGACAGAAACCAATCACCACATACAGAGCCTTACTAACCAGCACAGCAGGCTATGTGACTGGCTAGATGTTCTGTTAGTTGAACATCTGTTTACCTTGAAATTCTTTGGAATTTCAGTCTTTATAATTGAAAAATCTATAAAGTGCCCAAGTCCACATTCTTCTCCCAACTGCTCTTTTACTAGATTTATTAACTTGCAAGATCTCAGGGTCATCATTATGAACACAAAGGGACTCAGAAGAATGGTCAAGTGTAAAAAAAGCACTGGGCTTGGAAGCCAGGATGACTGGGTTCAAATCTTGGTTTTGCCACTGACTTGCATGTGGTCTTGGGCATTTGGTCACCTTACTTATGTATTTTGACCTCAGCTTCCTCTCTATAAAAATGAACAGACATATATTGAAAACCATCTCACACTGTTGTAGGTGCAGAGATTCACTGATTACACAAAGTAGACTAGATGCCTTAGCTTTCAAAGAGCTGAAACACACTGTATAGTTCAGGGAGACCAACAAACAAAATAATTTCAAATCTTGGTAAGTGCTATGAACTTATCCCATAATGGAAAAGGGGGTCTGGGAGGCCAGGGAAGGTCTCTCTGAATAGGGGGCATTCTCAGAGGAAGCCAAATGATGAAGCAGCAGTCTCAAGCAGATCCCCTTGGAACAGAGTATGACAGGCAGGGGCAAAAATACAAAAGGTCTGAGGCAAGCAAGCATGGTTGAAGGACAGAAAGGGCTAGTGAGGCTGGAGAGTACTGAGTGAGGGGTACTCGAATTTAGATAAGTCCACAAGGCAGGGCCCCGTTTCTTCAGGTAAGGAGTTTGGATGTTATTCTGGTTGCATTAGGAAATGACTATAGAAATAAAGGGGTTCAATTAGATCTGTGATGTTTCAAACTTTTAATTTTTTAGCAGCAGAACTCTTTAGTCAAATAAAAACAAGAGGGACCTCAATATAAAATTAAATAAAAGTAGTATTGTTCTGGCTGTGTAAGAAGCTCATTAAAGCTCTTCTGAACCTGTGGTCTCTTGACCTTCCCCCTTCACCCCACCATATCCCCAAGCACTGGAGCTCAGAGGAGCTGGAAAACCACTAGGTGATCTATTTCTAAGGTTCCTTAAGCTCTAACATAAACTGGCATTACAGGAAAAGGAAGTTTAGGAGATCACACTAGATGCTTGTTGAACCCTGGACAGACCTTAGGAAGGTTTTAAAATAAATGCCTGGCCCGGCCGGTGTGGCTCAGTGATTGAGCGTTAACCCATGCACCAGGAGGTCGCCGGTTTGATTCCCAGTCAGGGCACATGCCCAGGTTGTGGGCCCGATCCCCAGTGGAGGGCATGCAGGAGGCAGCCAATCGATGTTCTCTCTCATCAATGTTTCTCTCTCTAAAAATCAATAAAGAAAAAAAATTAAAATAAATAAATAAATAAACTAAATACCTCATGTGGACATGCTTCTGTAGAAACAACAATAAAATCTGGCTCATCAAAGGTTCCAATTAAAATCACATTGACTAAACTATAGGGATAGAAAACAGATCAGTGGTTGCCAGGGGCTGGAGTAAGGGAAGACAGTAACATAAAAAGATAGATGCAAGGGAACTTTCTGGGTTGATGAAAGTATTCTACACCTTGATTGTGGCTATGGTTACAGGACTGTACACATTTTTCAAAGTTCACAGAACTATACACTTAAAAATGGGTGAAGTTTCCTGTTTATAGATTAAACCTCAATAACCCTGTTTTTTAATTACATTGCTGAAATACACCTCAGAGTTATTTTATAGATGAGAAAACAGTCTCTGACAGAGGAAAAATTACTTGCTCCTGATGAGTCAGTAGAACCCAGAAATCCTGACTTCAGAGACTGTCCCTCATCCCACTACTGCTTAGTTTTAATTCAGAGCCTCTTCAATGCACTGGGCTTCAGGTTTCTCTGACTGCAAAATGAGGAGGTAAATAACTGCCAAAGGCTTTCCCACTTCAAACAATCAGATTCTAAGGAGGAGAAAGACTTCAATGCTTTGGAGTCAGAAAAACTGGAAGAAAAATTCCCACCTCTGTCACTCACTAGCTGTGTGTCTGATGCAAGCCTGTCCTGTGTGAGATGGAGTTAATAAGAACACACTTGTAAAAGAGCTGGCAAACACTCTCATGAAGGGCAATGATTTTAAGTATTAAGAGTTTTACCATACCTACACTGTTCTCCCATTCCCAGCCCCCTCCCCTCCCGTTGCTTTCTAAGAGCAATCTGGAGAAAAAGAAATAACGAACTCCCTGCTATGCATTGCATAACCTGTGCTCTAGTACACAGTAGAACCTAGGCTCCAAAGAGGCACAGGTTGTTATGTCACGGAGCAAACAAGAACACCCTGCCCCCTCCCTGACCACCATCAGCATGGACCACCACAAACACTGGAGTGGGAGCAGGCTGACAGCTTGCAAGAACACCATTGCTGATTATGCTTATATTTTAATACTTCACTTTCCATGTGGCTTCTGGCATTACAGGGCACAAACTTGACCATGGATATATTCCACACATCCCATAGCCCTTCTCTGGCCACCTGCTCTAAGAGTGATCCCAAATAATGACTCACTGCCACACTGGGCACTTTTTTTTGTCCCAAGGAGAGAAAAACACACAGAAACCCAAGACTATTTAAAAACAAACAAAAAACCTTCAGCCCTGGCCGGTGTGGCTCTGTTGGTTGGAGTGTCATCCTGCACACCCGATAGGCCTCAGGTTTGATTTTCAGTCAGGGCACATACCTAGGTTGTGGGTTTGATCCCCAGTCATGGCACTTACAGGAGGCAAATCAATGTTTCTCCCTCACATCAATGTTTCTCTCTCTCTCTCTCTCTCTCTCTCTCTCTCTCAAAATCAATGACCATGTCCTCGGGTGAGAATTAAAAGAAAACCTTCAGGCAGGTAGTTGCTGCTTACACGGTCTCATCTACTCTATGTGCTCTCTGGTCATGTAAAGACTGTTGGGATACTTTTTGTCCTTGAAGGGGCAGGAGGGAGGCAACACTGAGAAATTATCCAACTTTTGCAGCAACAAAGAGCTAAGTTTCCAGACCAAAGGCAACCATGAGTAGGCTGCAGACCAAGGAGGAAGGGCCCCACACTGTCAGGGCTCAACAACTCTAACTGCCCTGGCTCAACTTCTTGAAAACACAGAGATAACACTTGCCCTGTACTGCCCCTGCCCAGTGCTCTTAAGAGTTGTCCTGGAGATCATGTGAACTCAAAACCCTCAAAGAACAAAAAGGATTTCTGTACTGCACAGTTAAATTACTGAGCAAGAAAGAACAATGCTCTGTCCTGGTCTGTCTTTGTTAGAGAGGGCTGACACCCAGATTAAGAAATTCTGATTCATAATCATAAATATTATTTAGCAAACCACTGCCAGAACACTGTGGCAACTACATCCTGCTGTTTCTATTCCGAGCCATTGCCAAAGATTGCTCCTCTCCCCTACCGTCCGGTATCTGTGAAATTTTCAGTTTCTATCAAACTCCAGCTAGGGGAGAGGACCCAGTACTGGCCTTAGTCGAGTAAAGTTCCAACACCAAGTCCACAAAGAGACTGCAGAGAGGCATGGCCAGGCCGGAAATTCTGACAAAGTTTGGGCCCTCGGGTCCTGGAAGCAACTACTTCCTGATCCCTCCTAGTCGCGGGGCGGGTGTGGTTTTCTGGCTAGGTTCCCCACCCGAGGGCCGAGTTTGGGACTTCTGCAGCGGTAGGGACAGGTCAGGTCAGCCAGGCACTCTGAGGCACTCAGCTGCCTTCCAATTATTTTGGAGCAAAGTAAAGGGTGTGAGCTCTGGAGGGCGGAGCCTCCTCCCCCGCACTACCCTCAACCCGCGCGGGCACACACCTAGACCAAGGCCGGAGCTTTGCGGGCAGTACCTAGCTCAGACTCCAAGGCCCAGGCCTATGCCAACAGGAGGGGAAAGTAAAAGCAAAAGGGATTTGCCAGACACCTCAGAACCATCCTGGGGGAACAGAACAATCCCCACCCCCGCTGAGGGAGAACCACGAGGGGCTCTGGCCAATCCTAGTGCACGTCGGAGCCGGGTCTGTGCAGTGGCCGAAGAAGGCTAGGCCAACCCCGGCCCGGGGATCCCAGGCCGGGCCTCCCACCTTGACCCGCTTGCCCTGGATCTCCAGCGTCTTCATGGTGAAGTCGACGCCGATGGTGCTGCTCTGGCGCTCCGAGAAGGCGCCGGTCTTGAAGCGCTGCACCACGCACGTCTTGCCCACGCTCGCGTCGCCCACCAGCACCAATTTGAACAGGAAATCGTACTGCTCGTCTGGGTCCCCAGGGCCCGGCCCCGCCATGGCTTTCACGGGAGCCGAGGGCCGGTGGTCCGGACGCTGGGGGCGGCCTAGGTTCACGGAGGCCACAGGGCACAGTCGACGTGGAGCCGCCCCAACACCTGAAGCAGGGGCGCCGCGGATCGCCGGCCCTGGTCCGCCCCGCCCCGGCCAGCCCGTAGACCTCCGTACGGCTCCGCCCCAACTCCCCTAGTCCGGAATCCGCGAAGCTCGCTGCTGGCCCTGGGTTCCGCGCCAGGCCAGTCTCGCACTCAGGTTGGCCCTACGCACCGCCCACAGCACCTCCCCTGCCCGACTCCGCCCTCGGCACGCCCACACTTCTGTTCGCCCTCAGCACCGCCCCCAGCATTCGCCACACCCCCTCCGCCTATTTATTCTGCCTCCGCACTGCCTCAAAGCCGCTGCCCACCTGGGCCTTCCTCAGCTAGTGGGGCTCTACAGCCTGAACCCTAGATGCTATCCAGTGCCTCCCGTCCCGCCTATCCCTTCCCCAGGCCTGGCTAGTCGGCCTGGGCTCGCCTACCTACTGCTCTTCCACAGTCAGAAGCAGGCTCATGGGAATGGTGGGGTCTCTGGGCCTGCAGGCCTGGGAGCGTTAACCCAGCATTTGGACCCACAATGTGATTACTGGGGAAGAGGCCAACCACAGTAGTCACCTTAGTGCTCACACAAAAAGGGCCAACGATGCTGAATCCCTCTAACAGAGCATGGAGATAGGTGGTAGCATTTCCCCATATTGAAGAAGGAAAAGGCCTGGCAGCACAGTTCAAGGGAAAAAGAAGTCTATGAAATTAAACTGGCTACAAAACTGGGAAGGAGGCCAGAATCCTTGTGGAGAGGCACCTGAAAGCTGTGGCTCAAGATGACCTCCCAAGACTCCGGGGAGAGAAGAATTAGGGAGACTCATTTGGTGGAAGCCTAAGCTAGAAAGAGTTGGGAATTCACAACCCCAAAAGGCAGCCTAGTGGATGAAGCAGCTGCTCAAATGTCTCAGAATAGGCTGACTCAGGTGGTGTTATGGGTCCAGTTGTGGGAATGAACCCAGTTAAAAAGCACCAAAGATTGGCCTGAGCAGAGGAATAAAGGAGGTTGGTTGGTTCCTGGGCAGTTATGTAGGGCAGGCCAGTTCCCAAGATGGGATCCTCAAAGAAATTGTATTCAAACATCTGCAAGAAGCTTAAAATAGATCAAATAGAACCTATTTCCCAAAGGACTTTCCAGCTATCAAGAGGAAATGGAATTGAGAACACTCCTTCCCTCTTCATGTAGCACCTTTAATTCTAATTCAGTAAGTTTGAATAAAGCCTGCTATGGGTCAGGTATTAATCTAGAGTCTTGGGAATACATCAGTGAACAAAGCAGATTAAAATCCATACCCTCCCCAGTAGGAAGGGGAAGAGGGCCTCCTCGTAGTTTAAGGAGACCACAGAGAACAAGTCCACCAGTATTATGAGGACCCCTCAAAAACTTTACTGGCCAGTAAAGTAAGTGGGGAAGAGACTGGATAAGGAGGCAATGATATAGACCCATGGTAAAGGTGAAAGAGTTATTTGTTCTGGAAGAGTCTGAATTCCACCGCCATGGGAAATATCCAACAGTACTAGACAGGCAACCCCAAAGTGCCATGGAAAAGCAATTCTGGGGGCACTGCTTTGGTATATCAGACAAACACAGAGACCTGGAGTAGCAAGAAATAACCTCCATTCTAAAAGAGTAGCAGCCCTGGCCAGTGTGGCTCAGTTGGTTGCGCGTTGCCCTATGCACCAAAGGTTGCTGGTTCTATTCCCCTATAGGGCACATGCCTGGGTTGCAGGCTCCATCCCCAACAGGGAGCAAGCAGAAGGCAGTTGATCAATGTTCTGCTGTCACATCGATGTTTGTCTTTCTCTCTCAATAAAAACCAATAAATCTTAAAAAAAAAAAAAAAAAAAAAAGTTGTAGCAGATGGGATGGAATGGGATTGGCTCGGAGAAGGTCAAGAATGCCAAATCCCAGAATGCCAGAAGACAACATCTGCCTTCAGCTCAGAGTGGCTACCCAAAGCACAAGGTGGAGAGGGGAAAGAGAAAGATGAGTCCAGGAGTCAAAATGAGCCAAGGCTGTCATCGATTGGAGGCATGAGGAGGAAGAAGAGGAATGTTAAGTTGCAGAATGGAGTGGACAAGGTCCAACTGGCCTTTACCTCGCCTTGCCCAGAATTAGTTTGGGATGGGTTGGTGAATGTTGGTCTTGGCCTGGATTTTTCCAGAGAACCAAACCACTACTTGCATTTGTAAGCTGATGGAAATGTTCTAAAACTGGACTGTCACAAGTATTGTGGGACTCAGGAAATTTATCAAGTTCCTTAAAATGTACATTTATAACAGGTGAATTTTGTGGTATGTAAATTATACCTCAATAAAGCTATAAAAACACAACCTACATTTTCTCTTTTTTAGTGGTGAATTCCTGAATAGCACAGTGGCTTTTTTTAAAATACATTTTTATTGATATTTTAGAGAGGAAGGGAGAGAAACATCAATGCTAGAGAGAAATATCAATTGGCTGCCTCCTGCACAACCCCTTTGGGGATCAAGCCCACAACCTGGGCATGTGCCCTGACAAGCAATCGAACCAGGACCTCAGTCAATGGAATGACACTCAATCCACTGAGCCACACCGGATGGGGAGTGGCATTTAATCTGAAATTTGCATTAGGTTTGGCTCTGCCCCCAGTTTCCAAAATGGCAACATTGCCATGGACTTCCCTCCCTTTCCCTAACCCCACTGTTCCTCCTCTTCCCTCTGTTTTGCTTTAAAATTTGTCTTCTCAGCCTCACCCAGACCTCAGACTGCCCTCCCTCCCCTGTACCCCTACCCCCTGCACTCTGCCCCTTCATTTCACATGCCTCTGCTTTAGGTAATTTATAAACAAGGAAGAGATTGAAACCTTTCTTTTTTTTATAAAGATTTTTGAAAATGGATTTTTAGAGAGAGAGGGAGAGGGAGAATCATAGTGTTGAGAGTGGGACATAAGATTGGCTGCCTCCTGCACACATCCTACCAGAGATTGAGCTTGTAACCTGGGCATGTGCCCTGACCTGAAATGAAACCAACAAACTTTTGGTGCATGGGGCGATGCCAAACCCATTTTCTTCCACACCCTGGAGTACTGCAAGAGGTGCAGGACTGCCGTGGAGAAGCAAAGGGCTGATTTTGTCGCCTCATCCACTGCCTTACACCAACTCCATCCTTTAAACAACTCCATGTTTGTTTAAAACAGAGCAATTCAAAAACATTTGTGACATCTTACTTAATAATCAAAATTTGAAATAACACACATTTCAATTTTTTTTAATTTTTTTCTTTATTGATTTTATAGAGAGAGGAAATGAGAGGGGGAGAGAGATAGAAACATCAATGAGAGAGAACATCAACTGGCTGCCTCCTGCATGCCCCCCCTGGGGATCAGGCCCACAAGCTAGGCATGTGTCCTGACCCGGAATCGAATGGGCAACCTCCTGGTGCATGGGTCGACACTCAACCACTGAGCCATACCGACCGGACTCAATTTTTAAAAATGTATCAAAAACATTCTTAAAGCTAAAGGTTGGTAGGCTGAGTAAATTTTAACTATTTGTGCTATTGCCACACGGTGGCACTATCCTACCAGCAATACCTGTAGCATGTGATGTTATGTGAATCACTCCAAGTGGTTAGAGAGACAAGTGCCATCTTTTTCATTTCCTCATTCCTTCCTTTCCTTCCCTCTTTCATTACCTTTTTCTTTCTACAGTCACCATCATTTCAGCCTCATTCACATTTTCTTTTATTTGGCCATGCCCAGACTAGTTCTGATAATGTGCCCCCCATTAGTGATAAAGGTGGAAAACATGATACCCTGTATTCTTAATATAGAAGAGTGCTTGATGCAAAATATTAGACAATTAAAAGTATTAAGAAAGCAAACTATGCCTAGCAGTTGTAGACTTAAGTGCCCTGGGCTGATGCTGGTTGAGGTCTGAAAAGTCTCCCTCCCAGGTAGTCCTCAGCTCACCTGGTAGCCAAAACTGCAGCCATCCCAAACTACCCTCCCAGAAATCCAAAATGTCACAAACACGAGCCAAATGAACCCATCCTTCCTGTTTCTGTTTTTTAAGGGTTATTTTGCTGCAAATCAAGCAAGAATTTATTGGCCACAGCAAAAAGCACACTCAGGACAGTGAAAACAAGGAAGGGTTTAGCACAGAAGCAACAGGAGAGCCTAGACAGGGCTGCTTTGGCTCACTGGGAGGTCAGAGAAAAGGGGGCCTTGAAAACAGGTTCAGGGGGTTAGCTAGGGACAGATGCCACTGTCCATTGCTCCCCTGGTTGAAAGTCTTGTGGATTTAGGAGATGAGTGCCTGTGGGGGGAGTAAAGGAGGAAGGGAATTGTGCAGGCATGGCCCCCAGAGGGAGAGCGTGCCTGTTTCTGTTAATGATACCCATCTCACACTTGAGGCTAACTAAAAATATGGGGTTATCTGGCTCTCAGCACCCTTACTTGAACCTCCCCCAACTCCCCCATTGCTACCCTCAGACCCGGAGCAGTGCCCCTCCACACACTTTGCCCCAGAGGATTGCCTTAGCTAGCTTCTTCCCCTCACAGCTTCTTGTTGGCCCTGCAGCCTCCCTGCCCTCCCACCAAATGGGCCTACTGTAAGTCTTCTTACCTGGCTACTCCCCTACTCAGATTTCAGTGACAAGCCCAGACCCTCCAAAATACCTACCCATTCAAGGCCCATCTTACTTCATCTGGTCCCCTGCCATGAAGCCCCTCTCCTATTTCCCAGGCCCTCAAATTTGCCAGTGTGGCATTCATATGTGACTCGATACGCAATTACTTTTGGCTAAAAATAATTTTAGCATCAGGCTCAGAAGAAACTTCTGTCCCTCCCTTTAACTACCTAGAACTTGAATCAGAGATCGTGCCCATAATAATAGATTATCAGACATAATTTTTTGACCTGTCTATAGGTCAAGGTAAACTTCTGTTTACTGTCTGTTTTTGTTGTCATTCTACAATGACCCATTTAAGCCAAGACACCTTACCTCATCCCTAGCTCAAAATGTCTTATATACCCAAGTCCCATTTCTCTCTCTGAACCTCTCATGCATGTTTGGGCCCTCTCTCATGTATGCAAGGTTCTCATACATATGTATGTATTAAATTTCATCATTTTCTTTTTCATCCTCACCTGAGGACATTTTTTCCCATTTTTTGTTCAGATAGAGGGGGGGGGGGGAGAGAGAGAGAGAGCGAGAGAGAAACAAACATCGACGTGAAAGGGACACATTGAGTGGTTGCCACCCGCACGACCCAACCAGGGCCGGGGACAAACTGCAACTGAGGTACGTGCCCTTAGCGGGAACCGAACCCGGGTAGATCTGGACCGCAGGCCGACACTCTAACCGCTGAGCCAAACCGGCCAGGGCTCATCATTTTCTTTTGCTAAGCTATCTCATGTCTAGTTGATTATTAGACCAGCCAGAAGAACCTTGAGGGTAGAGAAGTTTGTTCTTCCCTCACAGCATTTTTCACAGAATCCTACATGGCCCAGCCAGAGACCTGAGAGCAGATCTTTTCTCCCCCTCACCTTAGTGAGGTGGAAGCCCAGGCTCGGTGACTTACAGAAAAGTACCCTGTGCATGAACTCAATAGTACAGGGTCCACCCTACAGAAGACATTACCTCTATGGGTTTGTTTGTATGGGGGCAAGGGGAGTTAAAGCAGGAAGTAGATGTAAAAATGCCTGAAGGGCCAAGGTGCCACTTCCAGTCTCCCTGTTGGACCTGTCTCATTAGCCAAGTAGCACCTACGGGAAGTTAAAGAACGCCTGATGACCCCAGGCAGAATCCTGCTGCATTAATGTGAGCAGGGGCAAGAACCCCAACCCTGTCCTCTCTTGGGGCATTGGGAGGAAGCATTAAGATGTTCATGTCCTCTTCCTCAGGACAGTCGTACAGAATGGAGTTGGGGTAAGGCAGTGGATGAGCGAACAAAACCAGGCCTTTGCTTCTCCATGGCAGTCCCGCCCCTCTTGCAGTATTCCAGGGTGTGGAAGAAAATGGATTTGACAGAAAATGGGATTTGGCATTGTCCCATGCACCAAAAGTTTGCTGGTTCCATTTCAGGTCAGAGCACATGCCCGGGTTACAAGCTCAATCTCTGGTAGGTAGTGTGCAGGAGGCAGCCAATCTATGTCCCACTCTCAACATCTATGATTCTCCCTCTCCCTTCCTCTCTAAAAATCCATTTTTAAAAATCTTTATAAAAAAAAAGAGAGAAAGGTTTTAATCTCTTCCTTGTTTATAAATTACCTAAAGCAGAAGCATGTGAAGTGAAGTCAGGGGGCAGAATGCAGGGGGTAGGGGTGCAGTCTGAGGTCTGGAGGCTGATAAGACAAATTTTAAAGCAAAACAGAGGGAAAAGGAGGAACCCTGGGGTTAGGGAAAGGGAGGGAAGTCCATGGCAATGTATATATGGAAAGTTGCCATTTTGGAAACTGCGGGCAGAGCCAAACCTAATGCAAACCATTAAACAGGTTTGGTCAAAGAATCCTGACACCAGTTCTGTCACCTCTGAGCAATGAGCTGGGCTAAAGTGACCACATCCCCAATGGTCACACACACCAAGCCAACTCATATCTTCCTGTTGTTCCTGGCCTGGGGTGGGAGCCCTGCAGAGATCTCATTTCTGGAATCTCTGGTAGACAAGTAGCCAGGACCTATGGGGCAAGAAGAAGCTTGGGATGGGTCCCATCTCTGTCAAGGACAAGACCACGATGTCAGACCAGGAGTTTCTATACTCAGGGCCTCAATTTCCTCAAACACAGGACACTTAATTCTTGTCCTGCCTCCCTCTAGGGAAGCCATGATGAGATCCTGAGTGGGGAGGGGTTTGTAAACTGAAGGGCTAGAGCAGGGGGCTTCTGTTTCTGTCTCTCTCTTAGGTGGTTTAGAAGGCTGCTGAATTCTGTTGACTGAATGAGGGCCATATCCCTGGAAATTCCAGATGGGCCACACTCCGGGCATTTGCCAACCACCTTTTCCAGGGAGAAGAAACACCTGATGTCTGAATTCCCTGCTCTCATTGAATGTAAGGCAGCCCCAAGCCCAAACTTGTGCCCCTTGAAAGAAAAGCCCATTTAACTGGGTTCATCTGAGCCAGGCACCCCATACCAGTCCCTGATGTTCCAATGTGGGCCAGGCTGTCCCAAGGGTCCTTTCTTTTCTGTGCCCACACTGGGGACTGTCCAGACCCCAGGGTAAATTCACAGGTCCAGTTCTAGACTTTAAAGCAGGGAAACTGAGGCCAGGGACCCAAAGGGACTTGCTCAAATTCCCCCATTGAATTTGCTCCTGAGCCGCCCCACCAGTTTAGGCCTATACTGGGTACTGGGTCCCAGAGCTGAATCTGACCCTGCTCTGCACCCAAGGTCTCCACTCCCAGAGCTCCAACCTTAACTGCACCCTGCACACATTTGCCCAGGGGCTCAGTTGAAAGGGGGGCAGGGGGGCCACCAGCACTTCCTTCAGAGAAGCCAAGATGCAGGGTGTCCCTGCCCCAGTTATGTCCCCTCATCCTCACAGCTCTTAAGTCCCTCCTCTTATCACTTTCCCCACACGGTCACTTCCCACCCCACCCAGCTTCTGCCCAGCCTTTGCCTGACCTGGCTCCTGCCTCCAATCCCCACACCTGACTGCAGGTCACACAATGACCAGGTTACTCCCTTGCTCAGACAGCTCCCTGATGCTCTCAGTCTCTTTCAAAAGGGTCCGCAGGACCATCCATGACCCTGCCATTTCCACAATGTGCTGCTTCCAGGCAGGCAGACCATCCCTGACTCATCTGAAGAACCAAACCCCTGCTGGGGCCCTGAACCCAAGGACAACCTCTTGGTCCTGACATGGACTCTCAGACACTCCCAGGAACCCTCTGAGAAGGGGAGGCCCCTTGTTACTGCTCTAGAGGATGCAGCCTCTGATGGAAAGAAAAGACACAGCTTGGATAGCAGGTTTGGATCCACCTGGTGCTTCCTGGGCATCCATGGTGTACTTCCACACAAGCCACCTAGGAGGCACCATAAGGACCACTCTGCCCACTGACCTCAGCTTAATGCAATCATCACCTCAATACAGGGAACCCTGGGAACAACAAGCTGTAGATATGAAGGTTTTTCCTTCATATAAAAATCTTTAGTAAAAATAGCTCTCAAGGGGGCCTAATATATGGTGACAGAAGAAAATGTGACTTTGAGTAGTGGGCACACAGTGCAATATACAGATCTTGTATCATAGAATTCTACACCTGAAATCTTTATGATCCTATTAACCAATGTCCCCCTAATAAATTTAATTTAAAAAATAAGTTTTGGTTTTTTTTTAATGTAAAAGAAAAATAGCTCTTTACAGAACCACCCATAACACAGAAATAGCTAACTCAATTTCCTACCACCTGGGCAGGAGGGAATGAGGCAAGCTGATTGGGCCATAGAAAACAGGGCCAGGTCCAAAAGGTACAACTCTGTCTGGCTATTGACACGTGGGATATGGGCTCAGGGTGGACACATTACATTTTCTAAGAGGAGTTACAAGTAATGTCTTTATAGGAAAAACTACATTTTTTTAATGGTGGTCACTAATTAATCACCATCCCCACCAAATGATAATAAAAGGCTAAATAAAACACTTCAGGCAGCACAGCCTGTTTTACACACTCAAGATAAAAATAAATGAGTTCAAACTAACCAATGTGTCTCAGTGGATTGAGCATCATCCCATGGACTTAGAGGTCCTGGTTCAATTTCTGGTCAGGGCACATGCCCGGGTTGCAGATTTGATCCCCATTAGAGGGTGTGCAGGAGGCAGCCAATCAATGTCTCTCTCTCACATTGATGTTTCTATCCTTCTCCTTTCCTCTCTCTCTAAAAAAAAAAAATCAATAAATAAAAATATATTTTTTAAAAAATGTCAGTTCAAAGGGAAAGGGGGAGGTGGGGCGGGAAGAGAGAAACCAAAGAACTTACATGCATATATTCATAACCAATAGACATAGACAATAGTGTGGGGAAAGCAGGAGGGGGGCAGGATTGGGGCAGAAGGTGTTAAGGAGGGAAAAAAGAGGAACATCTGTCTGTAATACAGTCAACAATAAAGATAAGTCTAAAAAATAAAAATAAAAAAAGTGGGTTCATATAGTAACAAACATTTGTACAAAGGTGAAAGCTGAACCATTAGCATGTAAACAGCCAACCATGGAAGAATGGGGCAGACTCCCCCCCTGAGACCAGTAGATGAGGTGAGAAAAGGTAAAAGAATGGATGGCAATAAGTAGCAGGAAGCCCTGCAGCACTAGCCTGCAGTCTGCAGCCCCAGGACAGCAGAGCCCCGTGGGTTAATGCAAGGGCCTGCTGGGACTGAAGAACCCCCAACAGATTTCCAAACCCCAAAGAAAGCCCTCGCTCAGCCCTAATATCCCATGAGTCTTTTGGCCTCTTCGCTCTGGGCCTGCAGGGTCTCACTTGCGTACTTCTGGAGGAGTTCCATCTTCTTCCTTCGCACAAGTGCCTCCTCGATCTGTGAATAATAAGAGTAAAGGTTTCATGCAGCACTACTCAGTAAGGCCCTCTATGCCCTACCAGAACCCAGTCAGGAGGGAGTCCCTGTGAAGGAGTCCATTGAGGAGCTCATTATCCAGAGCAGTTGCAAAAATCCCTTTCTCTCCCACTGAAGCATGTGAACAATAGAATGTTTGTCCCTCTAAAGCAGATAAAATCCTGCCTTCTCTAGACTCCACACCCTATTATGAGCACAGTGACCAGTGTCAGGTGGTCAGGAGTCAGAGGTGCCTTAGTAAACAGGGGAAAAAAAACCAGTGAAGCACTTAATGGAGTCTCCTTTAGAGGCAAGGCCCCTGGCACTTGGGAAGCTACACCAGCAAGGGCAGCTCACAGCCTCCACCCTACCTCTTGCTGCGATGGCACAGGGACATGAGCGATAAACTTCTGCTGTTCATCTTCCCCTCCTTTCTCCTGGTTGCCTTCCTCATCAGACTACAAACAGAGAACAACCGAAAGTCAGTGAGTAGGAGACCATGAAATAAATGTTGGTAGTGCTATAAAATGCACTGCTATGCAGCTGTTTAAAAGAGGGAGGAAAGGAATGAGAATTCTATTCTCATACAGAAACACAGCCAAGGCATCATTAAGTACAAAAATCAACAAAACATTGTATATATTACGCTAACTTTTGCATTAGGAAAAAAAATAATAGAAACTAGTGACAGCAGCCAAGACCTAGGTAGATGGAGGGTAAAGCTCCATGACAATCTTTGTTGACTATCTTTAGATACTGTTTCGCTCTTGACCTTTGTGAATATCTCACCGATTTTTTAAAAATTATATTTAAAGTCCAGTCAAAATGATGGAGTAGGTAAATGCTGTGCTGTCCTCCTCCCACAACCACATCAAAATTACAACTAAATTATAGAATAACTATCGTGAGAACGACCTGAAGACCAGTTAAACAGAAGTCCTATAACTAGTAGCTATACAGAAGAAGCCATGTCAAGACTGGTAGGATGGCAGAGACACTGAATGGGCAGGTCTCATACAGTGTGGCAATTAAGAATTGGGAGGGACAGCTCTACTGCGGAGGTCTCCCCTGAGGAATAAGGAGCCCCATCCCCACACAAAGCTCCCCAATCCAGAACACCAGTGCCAGGAAAAGGACTCCCCATAACATCTGGCTGTGGAAACAAGCAGAGAATTCATCCAAGTGAGATGGGGGGCTGCTGGAGACCAAGGTACTCCTCTTAAGGGGCCCAAAAATAAACTCACTCACAGGCAGTAGCTTGGAAAGTACAAGATACATATGAGGAGGAACTAAATTGACAAACTTCAAGACAAGCACTAGAGGGGCAGGAGTTGGAGAAGTTCTCTCCAGAACAGAAGTGCTGGCAGGTGACATTGTTCCCTTGTTGAGCCCTCCTCCCATCCAACTGGCAGAAGCAGGCAGGAACCAAATCTGAGATCTCCATTAACCTGGCTAACATGGTTCTCCCTACCGTGATGATTCCCCAAGACCCGCCCCATTCAACTCAGTCACTGAGCCTGAGCCTCTTCTAGCAGCTGCTCCACAGAAGCAGACTTTCCTGAAATCTCTAAAAGGTACACAAACCCCAAACAAGCAGTGGCTGGCCTCAGCATGCCCTATACCTCTTGGTAAGCAGCCCTAGGCTGAGCATAAGCAGCAACCAGTCTTAACAACTTGCACTATAACTGCCATCATGTGGTCCCAAGGCTGGCATAAGCAGCTGCCAGTCACTGCTTGAAATGTACCCTCAAATAAGTGGCCATAAGCCTGGCACAACTGGCGCTGGCCTCAACAACATCAGTGTCCACCAAAGGATTAAAAACCCAACACCAGTGGCAGTCAGCCTCAGTTCACGGCATAGCCTCTCTCAAATGCCTTCAAGCAGCAACAACTGCAGATCACTTTGTAGCTCCTACCAGGAGGCCCCAAGCAAGGCAAAAAGCGGTGACTGAACTTGACCTACACTGAAGCCCTTCCCAAGAGGTTGAGGTTTCACAACTCAGAGCAGAAGGCAATGTGCACCAGGGAGACCCTGGCTGCCCACTAGTACCTCCTCCTCAGTGACAGCATAGATGTTGATCTCTTCCTCCTCTTCCTCCTCCTCTTCCTTTTCTCCTCTTGCCAGCCGAGCCTCTCTCTCTGCTTTCCACTTTTCCACTAATTCGGCTCTGACTGAAGACAAGAGACAGCAGGTGATACTTTGGCCTCTAAATAAGCTTTAAACACTATGCAAGACAAGGCTAAGATGTTCCCTTAGGAAAGAAACACCCTTCATTCTGCCCTGGTGGGAGGGAATCAGAAGTGAGGGACAGTCTGATCTCATAACAGTTCTGCCTTAAGTCACTACAAGACAGCTTTTTAGGAAATATCCTCAGATATTCCCCAGTTCACCAACCTTGGTGGCTTCCTAATATGTCCACATGAAAACAGAAATGCTGTTATACAGCATACCGGCAAAGAGCTCCAACTCCTGACCAACTTCTAAAGCTCTAATTCAGTGCACCTCATGGGAAGTAGCACTGACTTATTTTTCAGAGTTGTCATGACTTCAAAAGAATGTCAGTAAAAGGCTCAGCATAGTGCTTGGCATAGAGGAAGCTCTCCGAAACGGAAACCCATCCTGCTCTACACCAGGGATGGGGAACCTTTTTTCTGCCAAGAGACATTTGGATATTTATAACATCATTTGAGGGCCATACAAAATTATCAACTTAAAAATTAGCCTGCTATATTTGATCAGGTTAATTTGGTGAGACATATGATGTTAGCTGGTATTGATTTCATGGGCCTTATATAACCCATGGGCTGACATTTCCCATCCCTGTTCTTCACTGATAACCTGTGTGTTTTTTTGTTTATTTGTTTTTACAAATCCTCACTCAAGGATATTTTTTCATTTATCTTCAGATAGAGTGGGAGGGAGAGAGAAAGAGAAAGATAGAAACATCAATGTGAGAGCGACACATCGATTGCTTGCTTCCCTCACAACCACGACCAGGGCCAGGAACAAAACCACAATTGAGGTACGTGCCCTTGAGTAGAATCTAATCCTCAACTCTTTGGTCCACGGGCCAACGCTCTAACCGCTGAACCAAATTGGCCAAGGCACTGATAACTTGTGTTTAAAGAAGATCTAAATCTTCTTAAGTGGGCACTACGCTTCATTTCAAGAAAGGCTAGTCTGGGAAGGAATCTTGGTGGACAGGGACAAGGTCAGATGCCATTCTATAGCTTCCCCAACATGCTCCTTCTGGCCCAACACCACATTAACTGCCTTATAGTTACTTGGAGTTAGGTCATTAGCAGATCATTTCTTTCTGGCATAAAGCACTATCTAAAAACCCAGTTTCAAAAAAAAAAAAAAACAAAAAACCAAATGCCATATATAATGAAATAAAATGCCTGTAGACCTACATTTCTTTTCATATTCCTGTTCCAAAGGCACAATAACACCATCATCTTCATCTAGGTATCCGTAGTATTCAAAATCAATTGCCTTCATGAGCTCAGCACGTGTCTTTCTTGGAGGAGGAAGAGCTAAAAGAAAGAGCACCAACTTAGCTGAATTTCCCATCATTATCACACTCAAGCCTTCTCCCTACACAATGTTACACAGGCATACAGTATGTGTGTTCATAAAAATATGAAATAGCCACTTCTCTACACTAGTAATAGGATAAGTGATACTATTCATCAGTGTTGAAACTTTTGACCCATTTAGTCCATTTAAAAGAAATTTATGCTATCACCTCACACCTGCCAGAATGGCTGCCATCAACAAATCATCAAACAACAAGTGTTGGCAAGGGTGTAGAGAAAAGGGGACTCTAGTACACTGCTGGTGGGAATGCAGACTGGTACAGCCACTATAGAACTCAGTATGGGGTTTCCTCAAAAAATTAAAAATTTAATTTTGACCCTCTGATCCCACTTCTAGGAATATCCTAAGAAGCCTGAAACACCAATCAGAAAGAATATATGTATACCTATGTTCATAACAGCACTATATACAATTGCTAAGATCTGGAAACAGTCCAAGTGTCCATCAATAGATGAGTGGAAAAAAAGCTGTGGTACATATACACAATGGAACACTATGCAGCTGTAAGAAAGAAAGATCTCTTATCCTTTGAGATGACATGGAGGGACCTGGAAAGTTTTATGCTAAGCGAAATAAGCCAATAAGAGAAAGACAAATACCATACCACATGATCTCACTTATTTGTGGAATATAATGAACAAAAAAGCTGATGAACAAAACAGACCCAGAGACAGAGAAAGAAGTACAATTCAGACTGAGAAACTTCAGAGGAGGGGGCAGAGAGGAGGGATGAGATAAACCAAAGAACTTATATGCATGTATGTGTAACCAATGCACATAGACAATGCTTGGGGAGGGGGCGCAGGATAGGGAGGAGGGTGCCTGAGGGGAAAAGGAGAAACATCTGTAATAAAAAATAAATTAATTAATAAATAAAAAAAGTAATCTATTCTAATTTAAAAACAAAACAAGCGTATGGTGTGAGAAATTGCTCAGGACTTCAAAACAGATCTGCACTTCCCGAGTGCAGCTATTGGTGCTTTGCAGGAGGCAAGTGAGGCCAATCTGGCTGGCCTTTTTGAAGACACCAACCTGTGTGCTATCCATGCCAAATGTGTAGCAAATGTGTAGCCAAAAGACGTCCAGCTAACATGCCGCATACATGGAGAACGTGCTTAAGAATCCACTATGATGGGAAACATTTCATTCTTTTAAAAAAAAAATTCTCTTTGTCCTGTTATTGGTAGTTCTGAACGTTCAATATTTTTTCCATGGGGTCAAAATGTACCTAAGTATATGATTGCAAGTTGAAAATAGGGGGCAGAAATCAGGCATTGGCAGTTTTTCCATTTTCACTTGTGTGTGAATTTTTTAAATATAAATGCGGTGATATAAGGCATTAATGCAAGTCAAAATGTTTCAGTGAACAAATTTCAACAGTTCAACTTTATAACAATATAAATAAACCTGTTAAATTTTTCTGGACAATGCCAGCATTTGGATTTTTTTAAAACAAGTATATTTCTTATTGATGGCAACTAAATGATATTTGTAGCATTTTTATCATACAGTAGATTCCATCCATTCACTATACTTTTCTAACTGAGTTGTCCTACATGCAAGTACATGTTTTTAATGTTGTCTGTCTTCTGTGCTGTTCCTGTAAGTTTGCTATTAAAATAGATTAAACTATAAAAAACAAACAAACAAAAACAACCAGCCTAGCCAGTATGGTTCAGTGTTTAAGCGTTGACCCATACACCAAGTGGTCACTGGTTCAATTCCCAGTCAGGGCACATGCCCAGGTTGTGGGCCCAATCCCCAGTGAGGGACATTCAGGGGGCGCCCAATCAATGTTCTCTTATTGATGTTTCTGTCTCTCTTTCCCTCTCCCTTCTTCTCTCTCTAAAATCAATAAAGAGAAAATAATTAAAAAGAAAAAAAAACAGGTTCAATTCTGGGCATCTTGCTTGAACTGTTTGAGAGGAAAAATCTGTTTCTGGGAGAAAACAAAATGTGAGCCAGTGATGGACAACTTGCTACCATAAGCAGAGTTAGAGAGAAAAAGAAAAACACAAACAATGGAAGTCAAAACTATAACATGGAAAAATGTGACCTGGAATCCACCATTCCTGAAGGCAAGCTACCCATGGGCTTTTTAGTGATGTGATCCAAAAAGTCAGGCTTTTCTGCCTAAAGTAAATTGGGGTTGAATCACCTGTCAATTTTACTGATGAAATTTAGCTGATGAAATAACCATAGAAGTGCATGTAAAACAGCCTGGAAGGGAACATATCACACAGATACCAATGGTTACATTATCTGTAGCAGAGGCACTGACACTAGGGGAAGAAGGGGTCAAGAGCACTATACTACTACTTAAATTATACTCATTAAGACTAACAAAGGCAACTTTCTTGCTTTTTGTAATCCTCACCCAAGGATATTTTTTCTATTGATGTTAAGAGTATGGAAGGAAAGGGGAGACAGAGAGAAACATCCATATGAGAAAGAGACACATCAATTGGTTGCCTTCCTCATGCACCAGAGGTTGAACCTACAACCCAGGAATGTGCCCTTGACCAGGAATCAAACCCACAACCCTGTGATCTGCAGGCCGGTGCTCTAACCACTGATGCACATTGCCCAGGACAATTTCCTTTTTATAAAAAAAAAAAATCTATGACTGGAATAAAAATAAATTTAGAAAAGTAAAAATGTAAAAAAAACAATAAAAAAGTAATATATATAACATAACCTCACTTTAGGAGCCTTCCCTCCACTGCAACTCTTAAAAAACTAAAAGGAAAAATACCCTGACATGTTAACAATCGTCATCTACAAGTTGTAAAAATGCAGGTGAGTTTTTATAATTTTCAGTGTTTCCCAACTTTTCTGTAACAAAATTATATTGCTTTCATCATAAACAACATGATATTTAAACTCTGAATTATTTTTTGTTATTGTTAATCCTCACCCAAGAATACTTTTTCCATTAATTTTAAGAGAGAGTGGAAGGGAAGGAGGAGAGAGAGAGAAATATAGATGGGAGAGAGACACATTGATTGGTTGGTTCCAAAGCACCAAGGATCGAACCTGCAACCCAGATATGTGCCCCTGACAGAGAATCAAATCCACAACCCTTCAGTGTGCAGGCCGACACTCTAATCACTATGCTACATCATCCAGGGCTAAACTCTGAACATTTTTAAGCGATGTTAATAACACATGCAAAAGTAGTTTAGGCATTATAAATTTAAAAATAGCCCTGGCCAGATTGGCTCAATGGTTAGAGTGTTGGCCAGTGGACCAAGGGGTCGCAGATTTGACTCCTGGTCAAGGGTATGCACCTGGGTTGCAAGTTCAATCCCCAGCCCTGGTCAGGGCGCATGCAGGACACAACCAATCAATGTCTCTCTCTCACATCGGTATTTCTCTCTCTCTCTCTCTCCCCTCCCTCCCTTCAACTGTCTCTAAGAATCAATGGAAAAAATATCCTCAGGTAAGGATTAACAATAACAAATAAATTAATTAAATAAGCAGAGTTTAATAAAGGTAAAATTATATTTTTAAACAAATGGGAAAACCAACTGGAAGGAAATAGAATAGAATGCCAACAGTGCTGAAAATGCCAATATCATTCTTCTCTGCATTTCACTTTTTTTAATCCTCACCCAAGGACATTTTTTTTTTTTTTTTGCATTTATCTTCTGATAGAGTGAGAGGGGGAGAGAGGGAGGAAGAGAGAGAGAGAAACATTGATGTGAGAGACACATCGAGTGGTCGCCACCCACATGACCCCAACTGGGGCCAGGGACAAACTGCAACTGAGGTACATGCCCTTAGCAGGAACCGAACCTGTGTCTCTCTGGACCACGGGCTGCCGCTCTAATCACTGAGTAAAACTGGCCAGGGCTTCACATTTTTTCTATAAAGTATTTAGACTACTTTTCTAAAAGTCAAAATTAAAATACAGGCACACCTCATTGTATTGCACTTCACTTTATTGAACTTCACAAATACTACATATTTTAAAAATTGAAGGTTTGTGGCAACCCTGCTTCCAGCAAATCTGAGTGCCACTTTTGCAACAGCATTTGCTCACTTTGTATCTTTGTGACATTTTGATAATTCTCACAATATTTCAAACTCTTTCATTATTGTATGTGTTATGGTAATCTGTGATCAGCGATCATTGATGTGCCTATTGTAACTGTTTTGCAGTGCCATGAATCACAGCTGTATAAGATGGTGGAATTAGCCCTGGCTGGTGTGGCTCAGTTGGCCTAACATTGTTCCATGCACCGAAAGGTGGCGCCAGTTAGATTCCCAGTCAGAGCACCTGCCCAGGTTGCGGGTTTGATGTTTCTCTCTTTCTGTCTCTCCCTTCCTCTCTCTAAAATCAATAAAAACATATTTTAAAAAATATGGTAGAATTAACAGATAAATGTATGTTGTGACTACCTCACTGATTAGCTGGTTCCTTGACTCTCTCTCTCTCTCTCTCTTTGGGCCTCCCTATTCCCTGAGGCACAACAATATTGAAATTAGGCCAATTAATAAACTTACAATTGCCTCTAAGTGTTCAAGTGAAAGGAAGAGTTGCATGTCTCTCACTTTAAATCAAAAGATAGAAATGATTAAGACTTTTGAGGATGATAAGTCAAAAGTTGAGAGAGGTCAAAAGCTCGATGTCTTGCACCAAACAGCCAAGTTGTGAATGCAAAGACAAAGTTCTTGAAGGAAATTAAAAGTGCTACTCTAGTGAACAAATGAATGATAAGAAGCAAAACAGCCTTATTACTGAAATAGAGGAAGTTTTAGTGGTCTGGATAAAAGAATAAACCAGATGCAACATTCCCTTAAGACAAAGCCTAATCCAGAGCAAGGTCCTAACTCTCTTTAATTCTATGAAGGCTGAGAAAGGTGAGGAAGCCGCAGAAGAAAAGTTTGAAGCTAGCAGAGGTTGGTTTACGAGGCTTAAGGAAAGAAGCCA